TCTCTATCCCGCTCTCTTCCTCTCTGTAAAAAAAAAAAAAAAAAAAAAAAAATCAATAAAACATATTTTTTTTAAAAAAAATTGGTTTTAGAGAGAGAAACATCCTTCGGTTGCCTCCTATACTGGCCCTGACTGGGGAGCAAACCCACACCGAGGTATGTGCCCTGACCGGGAACGGAACTGCAAGGTCTTGGTGTGCGGGACGATGTTCCAATCAACTGCGCCGCCTGGCCGGGGCTGCGTTCTTTCCTTTCTTTTCTTTTCTTTTCGCACTCCGTCTTGGAAATCCAGTGTGTGTACAGCGCTCAGTGTGAAGCAGCCTCACTGCCCATGCTCAGAAGCTACGGCGGCCAGTGGCTGCGATCTGGGGTTAGACGTGCTGAGAGGGTCAGGCGGTGAGCTGAGACCAAGTGTGGAAGCCAGAGGGCCCTGCAGGTGTGAGCTAAGGCAGAGCTATGGTAGTGGCAGTGTTCCCGGAGCGACCTGGTGGGCAAGATAGGTCAAAAGTCATAGGGTAGCCCGGCCAGCTTGGCTCAGTGGATGGAGCGTTGGCCTGAGGACTGAAGGGTCTTGAGTTCAATTCCGGTCAAGGGTCTTGGCCGCAGGTTCGATCCCTGGCCCAGGTCGGGGCGCGTGTGGGAGGCAACAATCAATGTCTTTCTCACACTGATGTTTCTCTCTCACTGTCTCTCCCTCTTCCTTTCACTCTCTCTAAATAATAATCATCATCAATGGGAAAATATCCTCAGGTGAGGAGTAACAACAACGAAAGTGATAGGTCAAATCAAAGGCCCGTCCAGGGCAGTGGCCCGAGGAGGGAGAGGCTGGTCTGGAGGGTGATTGTGCTGAGGCGGACGGGCCTTCCCGGAGTCTGAGTTCTCCGCGTGACTTGGGCCTTGGCGACGGGCAGGATGTCAGTGGCCGGTGATGAGGATGCGGCCGGGGGCAGGGGGCAGAACCAGGAAGGGCTGGGCCAAGCTCAGAGCTCAGTTCCTTCCGGGGGGAGGCGGTGAGTAACGTGCCGAGGGGCTCTGGGAGGCGGCGGGGGGCGGTGGGGACTGCGGAGGGTGAAGGGTGTGTGTCAGCCGAGGCAGTTGAGGCAGACACCGCTCGGAACCCGGAGCCACCACAAACACGGCCCGGAGCTGCCAGGCTCCTCTGGTTTGTCCAGAGAAGCCAGAAACCTGGATTTTTATGTGAAATCTGACTTTTCAGAGTTGGCAACCGGCTCAAATTCTTTTGAAGCACCGTGCTCAGCCAAACCAAACATGTCTGCCGGCGGCATCTGCCCAGGCGCCCGCCGCCAGTTGTGGGGGAGATCATGTTGAGGGACAGGCATCCTGTGACTAGGATGGGGGGCGGGGGGACAGAGCTGGTGAGGGGCTTGTCTGCCCGGCTGGGGGCTTGGCTTTCCCTGGCTGGGACCATGGCGGCTGGAGGAGCCGGGAGGGCAGACCCAGGGACACAGTCTCTGGCACCCTCGGGCGGGCCCAGTTCAGGGTTGCGGGTCCGCCTAGGGCTTGGCGGAGGACAAGTGGCCAGGCACCTGCTCAGGTTGACTCAAGTCAAAGGGGGCAGCCCAGCCGGCGTGGCTCAGTGGTTGAGTGTTGACCTATGAACCAGGAGGTCAGGGTTCAATTCCCCGTCAGGGCACATTCCTGGGTTGTGGGCTTGATCCCCAGTGTGGGGGTGCAGGAGGCAGCCGATCCATTATTTTCTCTCATCATTGATGTTTCTATCTCTCTCTTCCTCTCCTTTCCTCTCTGAAATCAGTAAAATAAACATACAAAAAAAAAAAATCAGAGGGGGAGAGCTGGGGGGAAGCTGGGGCAGGCACAGAGCTGCCTTCTCCCCACGCCCCTCTTTGCTCTAGGGCCCTCTCCATTGACCAGCTGCTTCTGTAGGTCCCCTCATTTTTGCTCCCCAACAATTGCAGGACTCTGTATCCACTCAGACTGACTTTCTATGATCCCAGGGTTCCAGGGCCCAGCAGTTGTCTGTCTCAATTCAAGTTCCCAAGAGAGTGAATCTAATTGGCTGGGCGAGGCCAGGCAGCCACCTTGGACCCAAGCGACTACGTCCAAGGCATGCCATCCCCTGGTACATGTCCCCCTAACCAGGCCCACCCCTCTGCAGGGAGGTGAGCAGCTTGCCAGAGGGGGGCTCCCGGCAGGCCTTGGTGGGGAAGACCCGTTCCTGTGCCTGAGCCTCCCCAGTCCCCAAAGGCCCCTTTCCCGGCCCCAAGGGCCACCAGGGTCCTCACAGTTTGCCGGTGTTTGGGGTCTCCGGGAAGCTCACCTACAGGCCCCAGGAGGCTGATGCTTTGGCTCAGAGCACACGGAAGGCTGGGTCCCAGGGAAGCCGGGACCAGCGTCTGGAGAGGAGGGTGCAGAGAGCAGGCTGAGCACCTTGGAGGGGCTGCAACCAAGTTAGAGGCCAGAGGTCAGCCGGGTGGAGCCCCAGTGCCTGCAAGGACGTCCGAACCCACACGTCAACGACCCGAGTGGCTGTGGGGTGGCTGTGGGTCCAGCCCTGCAGTGGCTGTCATGGTGGGACCTAGAGAGCGGGGAACGCAGTTCCAGGATACGTGGTGGAGGAAGTAGCCTGGAGCCCACAGAATTTAGAGCCAGAACCCCTAGGGGCGTAGGGTGTATGACCTTGACTTCAGGCCCAGCGTTTCCAGAACCCAGGGACCTAGAGTCAACAGAACCAGATCTTGTCTGGTGGAGTTTGATAGGCCCCAAGCAGGGTGCATGGGGATCCCCCCCCCCAAAGCTGACCCAGGGCCCAGGTCTCCATGGAAACCCAGATGGTGGAGGGGGCTGCTGGAGTTGTGGTGGAGAATCCTGCAAAAAACCCCACAAAAAACAAAAACACAAGGACCCTGCCCCCTTCCTCACCCAGCCTTACCCAGCTACCTCCTGCAGGCAGGCTGGGTGGGGCCAGCAGGACCACTGACCCAGGGCCCTCCAGGGCCGGCCCCGGGCTTGGCACACGTGTTTGCTGAGTGAATCCAGAGCCCAGAAGCTGTGGGGCCTGCACGGTTCCTTCTGCCGGAAGTCCTTGAGGGCAGGGCCGGGTTTGGGCCACCCGGGAGTCCCCAGGGCTGACCCCTGCAAGGGCACCCCACTCTGGCTGAGGGGCCGTGGAGAAGGGAGCCTTGGGGAGAGGGCCCCAGGCGCCACTGGCCACTGGCCCTCCGGCGCCTGGGTCTCTGGCGACAACCTGGGGTGAGAGGGGTCTCGGGGGGCTCTGTCGCTTGGGGGAGTCCTGGCTCCCGAAGCTGCCTTTCTGCGGTGCACGGTGTTTCCTAACCGTTTGAATGCTGTCCCCGTAGCTCCGATGCCGGTCACTTAAAGTGCAAGACCAGGCGAAAGGCAGGGGTGCAGTTAGAAGTCTGGGGGCGCCCGTGGGGGAGCGGCTGGCAGACCCCGGGGCCTTCTGCAGGCTGCTGGCTGTTGTGACCACGTGTGTGCCAAGCTGTGCTCTCATGATAGCGGCGCTTCTGTGCATGTTTATTCTTCCATGAGGTTTTAAATGCCAACCAGCGCGGAGGTGGCGGTACAAGGACAGTAGCCACCAAGCCCATTCCCCTGACCCATTAATGGGGCCTGACCCACCCCCGACGGCATTCCTGGGGGGCTGGGGGGTCTCCTGGGGGTGGGCGCGAGGCGCACGGGGGTGCCCGGACCGGCCCTGCCCTAGACGGCCCCTCTGGACCGGGAGAAAGAGCAAGTCGTCCTGAATGCTCATCCCCTTCCCGGGGGCAGAAAACGCCTGCCACCCATCAAAACGGGGGGCGGGGGGCCCCATGCGAGGGGCGGGGGCTGCGGGGGACGGAGGCACGGCCTTCGGTCACACCCGCGATGTGTCCAGGGGGTCGGGGTGGGCGGCGGGGCGCGCTGGCCGCAGACGCCCCGCGGGGGAGGGGCGCGGCGGGCGGCGGGAGGCGGGGCGGCGCGGGGCTCCGAGTCCCGCCCCCGGAGGCGGGGCCACGCGGCCAGCTCCTCCCACCGCCCACCTGCCCCGCCCCGCCTCCCGCCGCCGAGGGTCCCGCGGCCGCGGCGCTCCGGCCTCTCCCCGCGCCGCCCCGCCCGCCGCCGCCGCCGCCGCTCCCGCCCCCGGGCCGGCCCGCCGCGCCCCCGCCCGCCCGCTCCCCGCGCCCGCGCCGGCTCCATGGGTGAGTGCGGGGCCCTGGGCCGCGCCCGCCGTGCAGGCCCGCGCCTCCGCGCCGGCTCGGGGCAGGGGGGCCGGGGCGCCGCGGTGGGGGGCGGGGAGCGAGGGGGACCTGGCCCGTCCCCTCCCCTCCCCTCCGCGGTGGGGCGCTCGGTCGCCCCCTCCTCTGGGGCAGGCCGGCTCGAGGTGGGAGGTGGACGCCGGCCTCGGCATCGGGGCAGCGGGGTGCAAACCCTGCCCCCCTGTTGGGGTTCGCGTCGGCAGCACCTCTCCTCCAGCCCTGCCCCCTCCGCTCTTGCACCCCAGCCTTCTAGGAAAGGCAGCTTGGAGGGGGCCCAGTTCTGGGTCAGAGATGGACGGTGGGTAGGGGGGACCCTCTGGGCCTTTGAGGGGCGTCCATGCATAGGGACGTGGAGGGCAGGGGTAGGAATGGCTGTTGGACCCCTGGGGTCCCCCTCCCCCCCCCAGCAGTCCTGCAGGGCCCCCCAGGAAATCAGGGGCCCCACCAGGCCTGGGAGCAGCCCCCCTCCCCCCCCACCTGTGGGACAGAGGGAGGGAGCAGCGTTCTCCCGGTGGAATCTGGACAGTTTCCCTGGGGAACAGCGAGGAGAAAGGGCTCTGCGAACAGATCCCCGAGCAGATAAGCTGGCATTTAAAAGAGAAAGGGACACTGACCTCCTTTGAAGGGAGGTTTGAGGAGACAGCCCCACCCATCCTCCGCTGGGGAGGCTACTGGGGCCCTGGGGGAGCCTGGGTGCCCGGCCAGGGGTGCACCCTTCCCTGGGCCCCACCCCGCTGATAACCTCCTGCTCTCTCCCCTGCAGATGCCGGGAGCCTGGCCGAGGAGAAGGGCCTGCGCTGTCAGAACCCCGACTGCATGGACAAGGGGCGAGCGGCCAAGGTAGGGAGCTGGAGGCCTGGCGGCTGCAGAGGGGCAGGGCGCTCACCAGCCTCTCTGTCCAGGCACCGGCCAGGGCGCAGCTGGCTGGCACCTGGGCTCAGGAGTGGGTAGGGACCCTGAGTGGCTGGTTTCGGAGGCAGAGGGGCTGCCCCTGGCTCTGTGGCAGTGGAGTGGGGGGACGTCTGCGAACGCAGGGGCAGCAGGGGTGCCCCAAAGCCCCTTTCTGTACTGCAGTTCGTGCAGCAGCCCCGGGGTGACAGGAGCCGTGGCCCCATGTCACAGATGAGGAAGCTGAGACTCTGTAGGGGGAAGGGCCCTCCCCCCCAGGTTCTGTTCCAGTGCCAGTTGGCACCCTCCCTGCAATACCAGGCCACTCTTCAGGCCTGGGCACAGGTCAGGGACGCTCTGGGACAGTGGCTGTGGCCCTGGGACTGGCAAAGGAAGGGACAGGCTGGTCCTGGAGTGCCAGGCCTCGGGAGCTGGGAATGAGGCGGAACAGGGGGGATCATGGTCAACAGGATGCCGCAGTTCTGCCCGCCCCCGCCCCCGTCGTGCCGGGCACTGTGCCATGCGCTCTCTGTGCCTTATGCGCCACTGTGGGAGCCCTTCTGGGAAGACATCATGGCCACGTTTCCCCGATGGAGATACCAAGGTTCAGAGAGGTCCTGTGACTTGACCCGGCCCTGCAGCTCGAGAGAGACCAAGCCAGGGTTTGAGCCCATGTTGCACTCCTCCCAGCACGCATTTTCGCGACAAGTCCTTCTGGCCGAGATCTGTCCTGTCATTATTCCCGTTTGCAAATGGGGAAACTGAGGTTCAGGGGGGGTGTGGCTCACCCAGGGACACGTTGCTGGGATGTGGTGGAGCTGGGATTTGAACCCAGAGCCCAGATCTGTGTAATGCCAGAGCCCATTTCCTAACCACGGTGTAGCTGGGCTCTGCCAGCTGCAGGAAATTAAAAATGCCACTCCCCCAGGTCCCTTGTCCCCCCCCTTCCCCCACGCAGACACGCAAGCGCACACGCTGCACTGGAGGACCACGGCTAGAAGGAACAGTCAGAAGGAACGCGGAGGCCTGTTCTGGGTGGGAGCGGAGGGGGAGGCTTCCAGTTGCCGTAGTCACCAGGCAAGGGGGTGTCTGTGATTCAGACAGTCTGCTGGCGCGGATGGTGCCTGGCATGGGTGCTTTGGTTTTGGCAGGTTGCCTCTCTCCCAGATGGGGGCTCCTGGCAACAAATTGTCCTCATTACCCCCCTGTCCAACCTGCCAGGGGTCTGCACAACCTGGGGGCTTCCGCCTGACCCTGAGGCCTGACAAGAGGGGCCAGCCCACACTGTCCTGGCCCCTCTTGTGGGCAGCTGCCCCTGGGCAGATCCTGGAGCAGGGGCAGGGGTGGGAGGGCCTGGACTGTCCAGAGGTGAGGCCTGTGGATGAGGGCTGGTTTCAGAGCAAGTGGGTCACCTCTGCAGACACAGGTCCTAACCGAAGCCCAGCCTGGGCCTGCCTGGAACTCAGCAGGGCTGACCTTGGCATCAGCAGCCAGAGGGTTGCCCAGCCTGCAGGGGGAAGAGCTGAAGCACGGTCATTGGTGGGACCCACTTTGGGACACATGGCACAGACTCACTTCTGGGACCTGTGTGATCAGAGGGAGGAGGGCTAGTCAGGGAGGACACCCTGGAGGAGGTGGCCTCTGGTGAAAGTAAAAACATCCACAGGCAAGCAGGAAGGGGGAACTGCCACAGGCAGGAGCACAGAGGCAGTTCTTACGAAGCGGATGAGGTGGCTGGAGAAGAGGGTGAGAGGAGGAACAAAGAATGTCCTATTGGTGATGATAATAATAACCACCACTGAATGGACACGTTTCTGTGCCTGGTGGGGTGTCAGGCCCTCACTGAACCCTCGTGAGAACTTCAGGAGGAAAGCATGATTATTCCCGCACAACACGTGAGGAAACGGAGGCTCAGAGAGGTGACAGGACTTGCCCACACCACACAGCTTGATTGCCAAAGCTCGGCCTGGAGAGCGATCAAGAGCCTCCCCTCTGGCCGTTCTAGGAACGGCTGGCAGGATATATGAGCTCTTTGAAGGAGATGACATCATTCATTCATTCACCAAATCAGCTTTGAGCATCTGCCGGGCAGGCCGGGTTCTAGACCCGGGAGGTGTCCAGGAAACAAAGGTCCTGCCCTCCCGGAGCTGACATCCTCGCCCCCTGGGAGGAGGACGTGAGGCCTCGGCTTTGCCAAACTGGCCCCCAGGCTGCCCCGGGGCAGGGCCATCTTCCAACAGGGCTGGACGCCGCTTCTGGGTCCACCCTGGAGGTTTTGTTTGAATCTCTCCTGGGTGCTGAGGCTTCTGACATGAATCAGCTGCCCCACCCGACCTCCTTCCCCTGGAGTTCACGCCGAGGGCAGGGTACCAGGCCGCTGGCATCCTGAGGAATGAGGAGCTATGAGGTGGAGGCAAGCTGGGTGAGCCAGCGGTATGTTGGGGCTGTGAAGGAGTGAGCAGGGCCTGGGGGACGGGGAGAGGGAGGCGGAGCTGACTGGGAGACCGCCGATGAAGATGTGTAGATGAAGATGTGTAGCCCGGCCAGACTGGCTCAGTGGTTTAGCATCATCTTATGCATGACACTCAGAATCAGGGCACATACCTAGCTTCTAGTTTGAGCCCTGGTCCGTGCACCTATAGAAGGCAACTGACGCATGTTTCTCTCTCTCTCTCTCTCTCTCTCTCTCTCTCTCTCTCTCTCTCTCTCAGCATGTCCTCAGGTGAGGATTTTAAAAAAAAATGTGTAGAGTAGCCCACATCTCTGACCTCCAGAGTCAAAGTCAAAGCCCACTCCCTCCCAGCTGCATGGTCCCGGGCAAGTCACTCCACCTCCCTCAGCCTCGGTTTCCAGGTGGTTGTGCTGAGGACTAAAAGGGCTCGCCCGTGTAGGTGCTTGGACAGAATGGCGCGCGGTAGGTGTTCAAGAGAATGAATGCCAGCAGCGACCACGTGCTCACCCTCCACCGAGGGGGCGAGACCCCCAGGCCTCCGGCGCACTTTCCTTCTCCTCCCTCAGATCTGAGACCCCTGGGGTTCCACCCCAGACCCCGGCCAATCCCGCCCAGTGGACTCAGGTTTGTGGTACTTCTGTCTGTCCTGTTCCAAGGGCAAGTGGAGCTCAGAGTCTGGGGAGATGGGGAAGTGTTCTCTTCCTCCCTCCCTCACGGGGGGCCAGTGCTGATGTGATGGGGGGCCCCACCAGCCGGACCGTGTCTGGCCCCCTTGAGCTGGGCTCTTTGGTCAAAGTCTGTTGAAGGAGACATGGAAGAGGGCTGACACTGGCCCCGGAGACACTGGGCTCTGGGCTAACACATTTGAGGGGGCAGAAGGCTTGGGAGCGCCTGGAGTGGGCCCCCCAGGGCGTCACCCTCAGACAAAGGTATTGGTCTAGCGGCCACCATTTCCTCAGCTGGGGGCCCTGTGTCCGGCTTCACCAGGGGACCCCAGCTGGTCCTCACACCCCTGCCTTGCAGTACGCCCCACCCCACCTCCATCAGACAGGACACGGGGAAGCAGGGAGGTGAAATGACTAACCAGGCAGGTCAAGCCAAGTCTGTCCTCCGCCTCCCATTCCTAGGCGCTGTCAGGAGGAAAGGGAGGTTTGTTTTTCCGCGTGGCTCCCAAGGGCCCTGGCAGGGAGGGGCTTTTGGTTCAGTAGAGGCCAGAGTTTGCAGCCCCTGAAGCTGTTCCCCGATGGGTAGGTAGTGAGCACCCCCTGCCTAGAGGTATTCAAGCGGAGTGAGTGGAAGCTGGGTTTGCTGAACAATGGGCTGTGTGGTAACAGGGATGAGGGTGTGTGTGTGTGTGTGTGTGTGTGCACGCGCGTACGCACCAAGGGGAGGGGCGGCCAGATAAAGACCCGTGGACACCGGGCAGAGGAAGGGTGGGCCTGAGGTCCCTGTGGAGGAAGAATGAGCAGGATGTGGTGAATAATGGGAGAGGTGGTCACCTATTCTCCCGTGCAGCCCTCTCGGGGATAAGAGGTGGAGGTCTGAGTGCCCTTGACAGTGGCCGATTCTGGGGTTCCCTGGAGGTAACTGGTCTTTTTGGATGCTGGTCAGCTGTAGAAGGCGGCAGTCCAGCCTGTACCCTGACAAAGGAGGGGACAGAGAGGCAATGCCAGTGAACTCCTGGGCTTTGGCTATGTAACTGGAGGGGGCGGGGACAGGTGAAGGCCTGGGGTGCCTGGCCCAAGAGACAGACAGAGACAGAGGACCCCATCCATGTGAATGGTGTGGACCCAGCCCCCAGGAAGGCAGCCCCTGCCAGCAGGGACTCCGGGCTTGGTGAGGGCCTGAGGGGTGTGGTCTGTGGTTGGGGAAATGCAGGGGGGGCTGCGTGAGGCTCCCGGAGTCTCTGGCCCCGGATCTGCCCTGATGCCCGAGGTCACTGCACCCACCTCGGGGAGAGGAGGGTGTGCTTGGGGCAAGGCTGCTGCCTCCTCCGTGGTGCCCTGTCTCCCCACGCACCGCCTGCACCCCAAGTTCCCAGCAGAGAGGGAACCACCAAAGGGCAGAATGGCCCCCTTTGCAGCCCTGCGTCGTGAGCCAGGAAAAAGGGGGGACACAGAGACGGCCAGACGGGTTTCGCAGGCGCCATAGAGGCGCAGTTCCGAATGCAGCCACTTATAATGGAGAGGAAGCCAGCCTGGCTCGGGGCGATTCCCGGGGCGGGCTCTGCCTCCGGGTCCCTTGGCCTGGACCCCTGGGGGCCCCCTCACTGGCCGCGGCAGCTTCCTGCTGTGGGGCCTCCCAGATGGGTGAGCTCCTGTCGCCAAGCCCAGGTTAAAGACATTGAACTTCCCAGAAATCTGCAAAGGGCCAGCCCCCTTGGGACTGACACCCGCCCCCCTCCGCGCCCCCCCCCCCCCCCGCTCCCCGAACCCTAGATTACTCCCTGAGCGCCACCCCCTGGGCCACCAGGTCTGCCACCTGGGTCCGGCACCCCCGT